GCATTAGAGGGGAATCTTGGGTATCAGGCGTATCAGGAAGTCTGAACCTCTCAAGTACCTCAGAAATGGGGAAAGAGAGAAGGGAAATGTGGTTGGAAATTGGGATAAAAAGGAAGCTGAGTCCTCCAAAAATGTGAGACCCCAGGGGAATGCCCCATGGCCTCTCCCTTTATTGGAATAAAGTCAAAGGACTCCTCTGTCTCCTTTTTGGACATAAACCTCTGGTGTTTGTGGATTAGTTTTCCTGACATTGGGAATTGCTGGGGCTTGTTTTTTGTTTTGGGTTTTTTTGTTTTTTTTTTTTTTTTTTTTGCCTTGTGTTTTGTATGCAGCTCTGTGAAAACCAGTCCTGAATTCGAAAAAACTTTCCTTTGGCTTCCAGTGAGGAGAAGCAGCTGGGAATGAGCAGGGGCTGACCTGGATGAGGGGATGCCAGCAGTGAGGCTGCTCTGCACATCTCTGAAAGGGAAATCAGGAGTGCTAGGCTGGGAGCAGCACACAAAGGGATCTTTGTTGGGCAGGAGCTGGCAGCAGGGCCAGGAACTGCAGGGGAGGGAGCCCAGGGAGCCCTGCTGGCCTGGGATTGAGCCTGGCTCTGGGACTGAGCTCTGGGATTGAGCCTGGCTCTGGGACTGAGCTCTGGGATTGAGCCTGGCTCTGGGACTGAGCTCTGGGATTGAGCTGGCTCTGGGATTGAGCCCTGGGATTGAGCCTGGCTCTGGGATGGAGCTCTGGGATTGAGCCTGGCTCTGGGACTGAGCTCTGGGATTGAGCCTGGCTCTGGGATGGAGCTCTGGGATTGAGCCTGGCTCTGGGATGGAGCTCTGGGATTGAGCCTGGCTCTGGGACTGAGCTCTGGGATTGAGCCTGGCTCTGGGACTGAGCTCTGGGATTGAGCCTGGCTCTGGGATGGAGCTCTGGGATTGAGCCTGGCTCTGGGACTGAGCTCTGGGATTGAGCCTGGCTCTGGGATGGAGCTCTGGGATTGAGCCTGGCTCTGGGACTGAGCTCTGGGATTGAGCCTGGCTCTGGGATGGAGCTCTGGGATTGAGCCTGGCTCTGGGACTGAGCTCTGGGATTGAGCCTGGCTCTGGGATGGAGCTCTGGGATTGAGCCTGGCTCTGGGACTGAGCCCTGGGATTGAGCCTGGCTCTGGGATTGAGCCTGGTTCTAGTTGAGGTGGAGCCCAAGGAACCGTGGTGGTCTGGACTTGAGCCTGGCTCTGGTTTGAGCCTGGCTCTGGTTGAATGGAGCCCAAGGAGTCTTCATGGTCTGGGCTTGAGCCTGGCTCTGGGTGAGTGGAGCCCAAGGAGCCCTGGTGGCTCTGGGTTTGAACCTGGCTCTGGGATTGAGTTTAGCTCTGGTTGAATGGAGTCCTCATGGTCTGGGTTTGAGCCTGGTTCTTGTTGAGTGGAGCCCAAGGATCCCTGGTGGCTTGCATTTGAGCCTGGCTCTGGTTGGGGTGGAGCCCAAGGAGTCCTGGTGGCCCTGGGTTTGAGCCTGGCTCTGGGTTTGAGCCTGATTCTGGTTTAAGCCTGACTCTGGATTTGAGCCTGGCTCTGGGTTAAGCCTGGCTCCAGTTTAAGCCTGGCTCTCAGAGGACTCTTGGTGTGAGGCCCTGACACATCAGAGTTCCACCAAACCTGTTCAGACCCAGCCTCCCTGGTGGTTTTGGGGCTCAGACTGGGCAAGTTCAGGCAGCAGCAGCTGGAAACAAATCCCTCCCTGCCTCTGCCCTGGGAACAAATCCCTCCCTGCCTCTGCCCTGGGAACAAATCCCTCCCTGCCTCCTGCCTGGCACAGGTGCCCAGAGCAGCTGGGGCGGCCCTGGATCCCTGGCAGTGCCCAGGGATGGACACTGGGGCTGGAGCACCTGGGACAGGGGGAGGTGTCCCTGCCATGGCAGGGGTGGCACTGGGTGGGATTTGGGGTCCCTCCCATCCCAGACCATTCCCTGATTTTGGGGTTTGGGCACTCCCAGCTCCCCAGCCGTGGGCAGGGAATGTGGGGCTGGGATCACACCAGGCCGGGGCTGAGCTGCTCAGGCCTGGCCTTGAGCTGGGCCTTGCTGAGCTTGGCCAGGCAGGGGCTCAGTGCCAGCCCAAGGCTGCCCCTGGCACAGGCACCAGCCTTGCCAGGGCCTGGGCAGCTGGGAGAGGGGAGCTGGGAGCTGTCCTCCATTCCTGAGGACATTTCCATGCTGCCCTGGAACCTGGGCTCTCCTTGCCCCTCCCTTGGCATCACTCCTTGGTCAGGGGCTGTAAAACACTGATGTTCCCTTTCATTCCATTTCATTTCCATTTCATTCCATTTCATTCAATTTCATTCCATTAATTTCTGTTTAATTCCATCAATTTCCATTAAATTCTGTTAATTTCTATTTAATTCCATTAATTTCCATGTAATTCTGTTAATTCCCATTTAATTCCATTAATTTCCATTTAATTCCGTTAATTTCTATTTAATTCCCTTAACTTCCATTTAATTCCATTTAATTTCCATTTAATTCCCATTTAATCCCATTAATTTACATTGAATTCCATTAATTTCCATTTAATTCCATTAAATCCAATAATTTCCACTGAATTCCATTTCATTCCATTAATTTCCATTAAATTCCATGAATTCCAATAATTTCTATTAATTTCCACTGAATTCCATTTCATTCCATTAATTTCCATTAAATTCCATTAATTCCAATAATTTCTATTAATTTCCACTGAATTCCATTTCATTCCATGAATTCCAATAATTTCTATTAATTTGCATTAAATTCAATTTCATTCCATTTGCTGCTGCTGTTCTCAGTGTGGCACAGAGATAAAGGCAGTGGGGAAGTCAAGGCCACTCAGGCTCAGGATCCCCCATGCTGCTGGTGGTGAAGGCAGCAATTCCAGCTGGTTAGCAGCAATTCCACTGGTTAGCAGTAATTCCAGGGGTTTAACAGCAATTCCAGCTGGTTAGCAAGAATTCCACTGGTTAGCAGTAATTCCAGGGGTTTAACAGCAATTCCAGCTGGTTAGCAGCAATTCCAAGTATTTAGCAATAATCCCAGGTGTTAGTTTAGCAGCAGTCCCAGCTGGTTAGCAGTAAGAGGTTATCAGTAATTCCAGCTGGTTAGCAATAATTCCAAGTATTTAGCAGCAATTCCAGCTGGTTAGCAGTAATTCCAGCTGGTTAGCAGTAATTCCAGCTGGTTAGCAATAATTCCAAGTATTTAACAGTAATTCCAGGTTGTTAGCAGCAATTCCAGCTGGTTAGCAGCAATTCCAGGTGTTTAGCAATAATTCCAAGTGTTAGTTTAGCAGCAATCCCAGCTGGTTAGCAGTAATCCCAAATATTTAGCAATAATTCCAAGTGTTAGTTTAGCAGCAATCCCAGCTGGTTAGCAGTAATCCCAGGTGTTAGTTTAGCAGCAGGCCCAGCTGGTTTGCAGTAAATCCATCAGGTTAAAAATAATTCCAGGTGTTTAGCAGTAATTAGCAGTAATTCCAGCTGGTTAGCAGCAATTTCATGTGTTTAGCAGCATTTCTAGCTGGTTAGCAGTAATACCAAGTATTTAGCAGCAGTCCCAGCTGGTTAGCAGTAAATCCATCAGGTTAATAATAATTCCAGGTGTTTAGCAGCAATTCCAGCTCTTAGTTTAGCAGCAGTCCCAGCTGGTTAGCAGCAATTCCAGCTGGTTATCAGTAATTCCAGGTGTTTAGCAGCAATTCCAGCTGTTAGTTCAGCAGCAATTCCAGCTGGTTAGCAGCAATTCCAGGTGTTTAGCAGCAATTCCAGGTGTTAGTTCAGCAGCAGCCCGGCTGCCCTGGGCTCTGTGGGATGGGCAGGGGCTGTGGCTGCTGCTCCTGGGGTTGCTCAATTCCTGACTCAGGGATTGCTCACTGCCCACCCACCCCTGGCACGTGTTGGGAGGGTTCTGCCATCTGCAGGGATCCCACACCCAAAATAAAAGGGAGGCAGCAAAATGTCAAACTCAAATCCACTCAAAAGTACCAGAATTAGCATTAATTAGATCCCTGCTAATTAAAAACCGCTGTGCTTTTTTCCTGGACTTGTGTGGAGCTGTTCTGTTCCATTGGGGGGGTTCTTTTTTAATTTTATTTGGTGCAGGACATGGGGGAATGCTGGAGTTTGTGGGGTCAGGCTGCAGTGGGGGGTCAGCAGTGCTTGGACAGGGCCCTTGCAGAGGGATCCATGCAGGGATCAGGGGGGATCCCTGGGGGAGCAGGGAAGAGGCACCAGCACGTTCTGGTGTGATTTAACTCCATTCCCACTGCTCCATCCACACCCCAGGCCTGTATTCACAGCCCAGCAGGAGATGGGCCACGTGAGGATGGAGAATTCCCAGGATCCCAGAGCTCCTGGTGTCCCTGGCCATGATCCACGTCCCCAGGGGCTCTGGGTGATGAGGAGAGGCCACTGGACTGCCCTGTGTCCCTTGGCCTGGGATCTGGAATTCTCCTGCCCCAGGATCCTGGAATCCAGCTGGGCCAGGAGTGATGATGTTCATGTGTCCAATCTCTCAATATTTCATGGTCTGGTGCTTGGAGTTGCTACAAACCCCACTGATATTTTTATTTTCACTGTCTAAATACTGAGTCATGTTTCCTCCTTTGCCCTGGAGCTGCCCATGACCTTTCCCTGCTGTTTCACAGATCCTTTCCTCTCCTTGCAGACTTTTCCTGGCTCTGGAGGTGCCCAGGGTGCAGCCCTGAGCAGCCTGGGCTGGTTCTTGGTGGCACTTTGGGAATAATCCAGGCTGGCTGTGCTCGTGTAGGGATGGAAAAGCTGGAAAGAGCCTGAAGAGGCTTTTGCTGGGAGCAAAGGGAGGGATCCAGGGAATCCTGGAGTTCATCGGGTTTCCTATCTCAAATCACCAGTAAAAACCTCCTATATTATTTATTTTCAGCTGATGCTTCGTTCTGCAAAGGAAATAAACCCTGAAAGGCAGTTTCTCACTGAATGTGATTATTTTTTTGTCTCCTGTTTTGCAGAGCTCATTTTATGGCAGATTCAGGCACTTCCTGGACATCATTGACCCCCGCACTCTCTTTGTGACTGAGGTAATGCCTGCACTCCCCTTTGGGCCAGGGCTGGGTGTCAGACAGCTGCAGGTGAAACCCAATCTCCCCTGGGAGCAGCAGAAGCACTGACCCCGTGTTTGTAATGGGTTTGTGTCTCTCAGGGGATTGATTGCCCCAAGGAGTGAGTGCTGCTAAACCTGGAACAGAAACCTGCCTGGCACCGGGCAATCCTCAGCCCCAGCTCCCTCTGCCACCTCAGCTGCCTTTTGGCAAGATTGCCTCTGATTTTGTCCTCTCAGGAGGAAAATCCCTGCAGGTTTTAATGGCAGAAATGGAGGTGGGGGGATGAGAGAGGAATTGTGAATTGCATGGGGGAGTGAAGTTCAGTGCAGCTCTGCAGGGGCTGCACTCCAGAGCTCTGGGCTGTGGCTTTTCCTCAGCTCTGGGCTGTGCTTTTTCCTCAGCTCTGGGCTGTGCTTTTTCCTCACTTCTTGCCCTGTTTGTAGCAGGTTTTGGGGATCCTGCCCCTTCATTTCCATCTGGTGTTGCCCAGCTTCACTGCAGCTCTGTGCTTCCATCAGATAATGGCTGAGGGTGGTGGGGAGCCCTGGGGAAGGAACAGTTCTGCTCCAGCTCTGGAACTCTGCCCTTTGGCCAGGAAACTTTGGCATTTCAATGAAGGGCAGCTGCTTTTTCCTTTTCATTGTATCTTTTCCCCAGTGTCCACGCTGAACCTCCTGTCCCTGTTCCCTGGAGGCTGTGCCCTCCTGGCAGGAGCTGTGCAGAGCCACAAGGGCCCCCTGAGCCTCCTTTGCTCCAGGCTGAGCCCCTGCCCAGCTCCCTCAGGGATTCTGCAGCCCCTGCCCAGCTCCCTCAGGGATTCTGCAGCCCCTGCCCAGCTCCCTCAGGGATTCTGCAGCCCCTGCCCGGCTCCCTCAGGGATTCTGCAGCCCCTGCCCAGCTCCCTCAGCCCCTCCTGGGGCTCCATTCTCTTCCCAGCACTTTTTAAGGCTGAATTTCTTCTGCTCCTGGGGGGATTTTCCTGCTGGTGGCTCTCCAGGGATGCAGAGGAGTTTGGGCTGAGCTCAGCTCCTGCTCTGAATCTCTTGGGGTGACCCCTGGCCTTCCCCTGGTCACCTGTTCCAAAAAACCTTCCCAGGTTTTGGGAGGTTGTGGAGGGTGTGGGTTCAGAGGGATCAGCTGCTGTAACTTTGTTTTGGGGAGGTTCTTTCAGGAAGGTGAAATAAAAAGGAATAAAAAGAACCAAGTCTGAGTGGCCCAGTTTTATCCTGGGTGAAAACCGAGCAGTTTTGGGTCCCAGGGTGAACCTGGCAGAGCAGGGAGGGCTGGTGTCCATCTCTGGGACAGGGCTGAGCTGCAGGAATGGCCTGGGGGCACTGCAGGGAGGGAAATGCCCTCTGACACCTCTGACATTTCCTCTGGGCTGTGAATTCCATGGCAGGGATGCCTCAGGAAACCTGAACATCCTGATGACCCCAGCAATTCCCTTTCCCTGGAGAAGCCTCTTGGCAGGACAATCCCCTGGGTGACTCCTCAGGGCTTCTTGCTCACTCTGCACTGTGTGTTTGCAGTGATTGGGGTGTGCAGATGTGGAACTCCAAGGGTGTTTTTGCTTTCCTTTGGTAACTGAGGGGGCAGGTGGAAGCCAGGAGGGGTTTGCTGAGCCCCAGGCTGGGCAGGGAGCTCCTGGCTGCACCTCCCAGGCCCAGGGCTCAGGGAACAAACAAATCCCTGCTTGCCTTGGGGGGGAAAAGAGGAGATAACTGAGTGTCTGATGGGAATGGAGGTGAATCCCATGGAAAATGCTGGGAAATTGGGCGATATTGAACTTTTAAAATATTTTAAAATATTTTATTTTAGATATTTTTATTTTTATTTTGAATTTTTTTTACATTTTTATTTTAATCCTTTTTTTGGTGGCTGTGTGTTCCATGGTGGCACCCTGCTGCTGGCTGTGTTGTGGGGAGGGATGGAGGAGTGAGGGGTGCTGAGGGTCACCGGTGCCACTCCTCCCTTGTCATTTATTCTCTGTAGAGCAGATTCTGAGATAAAATCAGAATATATTATTATATTGTTCTGATATAAATCAGAAACTTCCTTGTGCTCCAGAGGCCCTTGAGGAGGGATCCTGGGGGGATGGCCCTGGCTCCTGCTGTGGCTGGGCTTGTATCTGCTGGGGGGACACTCACCCCATGGCACTGGGCACAGCTGAGGGCACAGGGGCTGCAGCATGGCCCTGGCATAGGTGGCAGTGCCGGCAGTGGGGTGGCAGTGAGGTGGCAGTGAGGTGGCAGTGGTGGCAGTGGTGGCAGTGAGGTGGCAGTGGTGGCAGAGCTGGCTATGGTGGCAGTGGTGGCAGTGAGGTGGCAGTGCTGGCTGTGGTGGCAGTGCTGGCTGGGGTGGCAGGGGTGGCAATGTGGTGGCAGTGGTGGCAGTGAGGTGGCAGTGGTGGCAGCTGTGGCAGTGGTGGCAGTGGGGTGGCAGTGAGGTGGCTGGGGTGGCAGTGCTGGCAGTGTGGTGGCAGTGCTGGCTGTGATGGCAGAGGTGGCAGTGTGGTGGCAGTGGTGGCAGTGTGGTGACAGAGGTGGCAGTGGTGGCTGTGATGGCAGTGGTGGCAGTGGTGGCAGTGAGGTGGCAGTGAAGTGACAGAGGTGGCAGTGCTGGCAGTGAGGTGGCAATGTGGTGGCAGTGAGGTGGCTGGGGTGGCAGCGGTGGCAGTGAGGTGGCAGTGCTGGCTATGGTGGCAGTGAGGTGGCAGTGGTGGCTATGGCGGCAGTGGTGACAGTGAGGTTGCAGTGAGGTGGCAGTGGTGGCAGTGGTGGCTGTGGTAGCAGTGCTGGCAGAGATGGCAGTGCTGGCTATGGTGGCAGTGAGGTGGCAGTGTTGGCAGTGAGGTGACAGAGGTGGCAGTGCTGGCAGGGCTGCAGCCCCTCTGGGAAGGACCTTTGGTGACTCTCCTTCAGCTTTGGTGGCACTCCTTCACCTTTGGTGGCTCTCCTTCACCTTTGGTGACTCTCCTTCACCTTTGGTGACTCTCCTTCACCTTTGGTGACTCTCCTTCACCTTTGGTGGCTCATTCACCCCTCAGTCCCTCTCCAGTGGAACCATCTCCTGGCAGCTGCACATCCACAAGCTGCTGCCCTCAGAGGGACCCTGTGTCCTGCAGGGTCACCAGTGCTGTCCCCAAGGTGCCCCCTGGGGCTGCAGGGCCTGGCCTGGGGACGTGGGAGGCACAAATGATGGCAGTAATAATTTAATTGCAGTGTAATGGGGAAGGTCCCAGTGCAGGGGGACATGGGGATGGGGACATGGGAGGCACAAATGATGGCAGTAATAATTTAATTGCTGTGTAATGGGGAAGGTCCCAGTGCAGGGGGACATGGGGATGGGGACATGGGAGGCACAAATGATGGCAGTAATAATTTCATTGCTGTGTAATGGGGAAGGTCCATGGGGCAGCAGGTATTCTGACCAGGGGGACTCACCCCAGTGCCAGGAGCCTGCTGGCACTCTGGGAAGGAGGGACAATAATTCCCAGTGAAATCAGAAGCCAGGAGAGCTCCAGGGGCCGCCTCTTGCCTGCCTTTGCTGTGTCTCATTGTTCAGAGCCTGGAGCTGCAGAGCATCTTGCATTCCCATATTTGGGGCTGAGATGGAAGCAGGATTAGATGTATGTTATTTATATGAACCATACCTTCTTACTCAGCAGATTGCCTGTCTGTGTTTATTCAGTGTCACAGCTGCTGGCTCCACTCGAACAAAAAGTTTCTGGCTCCTCTTGTCTGTCACTGTGGATCCAATACAATGGGGCCAGCTGGAGTCAAGTCTGGTGTCTGTGTGTCTGTGTCATCCTGGGGAGCAGGGACAGGGCCAGACTGGGCTGGGCCACAGCTGCACCTCCACAGCTGCATCCCCACAGCTGCATCCCCACAGCTGCATCCCCACAGAGCTGCATCCCCCCAAAGCTGCATCCCCCCAAAGCTGCATCCCCCCAATGCATTCCCCCAAAGCTGCATCCCCCCAATGCATCCCCCCAATGCTGCATCCATGCCCCCAGTGCATCCCCCCAGAGCTGCATCCATCCCCCCAATGCATCCCCCCAAAGCTGCATCCATGCCCCAGTGCATCCCCCCAGTGCATCCCCACAGCTCCATCCCCCAGCCACAGCTGTGCAGCTGCTGCTGCTGCTGGTGGCCACAGGGTCTTTGGTTTGGGGCACATTCCCCCACCTTGGGATTGGGGCACATCCCCCAAGCCATGGCTGGGCTGGAGGTGGGACCCCAGAGCTCAGGGCACACAGAGATCCTGCCCAAAATGCCACAGTGACACTTCCAATGTGATAGTTCCAGTGTGACACTCTCAGGGTGACAATCCCAGGGTGACAGTCCCAGGGTGACAGTCCCAGTGTGAGCCCAGGGTGACAATCCCAGGGTGACGATCCCAGGGGTGATGCCAGGCTGTCCCCTGAGCCCAGGGTGACACCAGAGCCCAAGGTGACACCAGGCTGTCCCTGAACCCAGCCCATCTCTGGTGTCCCCAGAGCCTGGTGCAGGCCTGGCCCTGCAGTGGCTGTGGCAGGAGGGTGGTGCTGCTGGCACTGCCCTGCTGTGCCCTGGGTGTCACACCTGGGCTCTCAGGCTGCTGGCACTGCCCTGCTGTGCTCTGGGTGTCACACCTGGGCTCTCAGGCTGCTGGCACTGCCCTGCTGTGCCCTGTGTGTCACACCTGGGCTCTCAGGCTGCTGGCACTGCCCTGCTGTGCCCTGTGTGTCACACCTGGGCTCTCAGGCTGCTGGCACTGCCCTGCTGTGCCCTGTGTGTCACACCTGGGCTCTCAGGCTGCTGGCACTGCCCTGCTGTGCCCTGGGTGTCACACCTGGGCTCTCAGGCTGCTGGCACTGCCCTGCTGTGCCCTGTGTGTCACACCTGGGCTCTCAGGCTGCTGGCACTGCCCTGCTGTGCCCTGGGTGTCACACCTGGGCTCTCAGGCTGCTGGCACTGCCCTGCTGTGCCCTGGGT